ACTTGTCGAAAGCTTTTCAGTGCATTGAGATAAAATGTTTCTTATTGGTGATCTAGTTTTCTAATTCATCATTTGTATTCAAGATTTTGATTACTTTAAGGCTTTCGGATAATTTACAGTATTAAAATACACATGTAAAATGTAATGTTAAATTACTTTAAAGAAACATTATTCTTTTTATCTTGGGATTTTAACTGAGAAATTCTCGACAGTAAAGATGTTGTACGGTTCTTCTTAGAAGTACGGTTGTTCGAAGTGGATTAATATACAAAACATATACCTTGTTTTTCGGAATATAACGCACCTCGATGTATAACGCGCATAATTAGTAATTAGTAGCGCCAATTAGTAGTAAATATGGCTCTCGCAAAAAGAAACAAACACAATGCTGTTATCAAGTACGAAGTCATTCATTTTGCCAAAGAAATTAGGAATCGTGGTGCAACAAGGATATTTGATGTTGGCTAAAGTTGGAACGGATAATGATTATTTATTTATGGATCAAAATAACAATGATGATGACAATGAAACAAAATTCGATGATACACCTGAAGATATAACGGGAAAGGAAAATAACGAACTCTTCATGTTATCCGATAATGAAAATGTTTAATTTCTCTAAGGTAATGTCATTTCTTTTAAATAAGCAGCATTTTGGTACATGTAAAAATCTAATTCTTTCCTTATTTTTAAGCTATCAGTTTTATATTCGGTGTATAACACCCGCCCCCGTAAATTTCATTCCTAGTTTTTGTATTAAAAATGCGTGTTATACGTCGGAATATACAGTATATAAAATCTGAAAAACATATGTCTTTCGAGAGCATTTGGGCTAAAAATATTTAAAAACAGCATATCTTTAGAATTGCCGATAGATAGTTTCGTGCGCTGGAGACAAAAATGTTTTTATTTCGTACAGTGTTGCCATTGCTCGCTTGAAGTTATCGTTAAGATTGTTAATCGTAAAGAAATCGTTAGGTTTGTTAGTCAAATATTCGTTAAAGTTTTGCAAAATATGAAATAGATAACAAAATAATTTCCAAATTCGGGCTTCCGGGTGCTCATACACTAGTGGAGGACTACGTTATTCAAAAGTTCTTGAAATATAATACATGCGATAATATTTGGTGGCCACAGTTTGAAAAGTGATACACCGCAAAATGCCGTTTCGAGACTAATAGCCCTTCTGGGCTAAAGTCTCTTTTGAAGTAATAAAGGATATCCCAACAAAAGAGCCTGATTTAGTATACCAATTACCGGCAGAGTATGAATCTGTAGCATCTTCTGTAGAATACCCAGGTATTTTACATAGAATACCTGCTATTTTTTGGCAAAGCTTGAAATATGAGAATTGTTACATACTTTACCTAGGCATTATATATAATACCTAAGCATTAAGAAGACAAAATTATTATTATTTATTATAATTATAATTAATTGTTATTTAGGCAAAGTATGTAAAAAAGGTCATAATAAAACTATAACTGAAAAGACGTTCATTCTTCAAAAATAAAAATGCTCTTTTGAACAAGAATTGAAAGAGAGTTATTATAAAAGTTTACTCAAAATACGTAAAAAAAAAAAAAAAAAAAAAAAAAAAAAAAAAAAAAAAAATCTGAAATGTTTCAGATTTTAAATTACGTCCAAAAGGGCGTTTTTTAACATTTTGTGTGTTACCTTTCTTTATTAAATATCATGTTCCTCGCACTTAAACCATAAGATCCAGTGCAACAGCAATATCGCAAAATAGTTTTAAAACGAGCATATCTTTAGAATTTCCGATACAGAGATTCACGCGCTGGAGATAAAAATGTTTTTTTCTGCCCAACGTTGCCATTGCTCGCTTTGAAATCCTTGAGTTTGTTAATAAAAAATTCGTCAAAGTTTTAAAAAATAGGAAATCGATCATAAAACAAATTTCAAATTTCAAATTTGGTCTTCCACATGCTCATATTCGTTGGAGGATTACGTTATTCAAAATTCGATGACTCTATGTACCGTTATTTTATGACAATGTGAGAAATATACATACATTTACGCAGATTTTCATTATTTAATTTCTTCAAATATAATGCAGGACTCTAACATTTTATGGCAACAGTTTGAAAAGTGAACCGACATTTATCCGTCTGACGCAAAATGCCAAAACGAAACTAATAGTCCTTCGGGATTCAAATCCCTTTGGACTAAAAAAAAAATTAAAGGTGTACGAAAAGCAAAATTTATGTCTTTCTCATTAAAAAAAAGGAACAAAATTTTCGCATAAAGAAAAAGAAATTAAAATTAATCTATTTGTTGCAGCATGGTAGGCATAAATGGCATTTTGAATTCACTTCATTACTTTTTCATACGGAGACATTCCATATTTCGGTGCTTTGTTCTAAGCATACCCTTGACGAATACTTGGCCACTTTTATTGGACTGAGAAGCTGCAACTGTCCAGAGAGGAATTTCGAAGTTAGGAATATCTTCAATTTAAAACCAGTTCCTAGACCATAAATTAAACTGTGATCTCTTACAAAGCTGTTTTAAAATCTCTCAGAAGTTCCAAATCGATAGAAACAATTCTCTCACACTCATTACAACTGCCAAAATATTGCACTAATTATTATATGCTTTTCCTAGGCATTGTATACAATGTGGAGATGTAGTTCATATTTTGCCAGTTTGTCATTTGGCATTACGTAAAATGCCTAGGCAATGTGTGAAATGTTTAATGGTTTCATAAACTGCCCGAGAGTTTTTGGCATTCTATAAAATACGTAAGTATTCAAAGAATGCCGAACTCCATATTTTGCCAGTAACATGCCCAATAAAGTATTTTATTTTTAGAAAATGGAAAATATTTTTACGTACCTGCAACAGGTAAATGTTCCGACTCAAGAATGAAAATTTGTATCTGACATATGTCTTTTGTGACTTGCTATGCAGTATCGGACTATCGTCGCTAATGCTTTTATTTTCCTCATACGCTTTAGAAATTTGCCTACAAGAAGTTTTATTCTTCTCGACCGTAGTGTTCCTAATCCTCGCTTTTGTTTGGCCACTCTCTTCGTCAGTCTTACTGTTCTGTCGATGTCTATTTTTGCCACTTTTTACAGATTAAACATGGTTTGTGACCCACGTTTTATAGTGGATTTTCATCCTCTTGATGCCTACTATCACGTCTCTGAATTTGTTCGTAGAATTCGAGAATGCCCTGTAGATGTCAAACTATCTGTACTCGTTAACCTTTCGAAAACCGAGCCTTCGCTAACCTGTATTCTTAAAATGCCGGAATTCCTTTCAAGATTCATAGTAATTCTCTCCCCTCCTCGTCCATTAACACACAAAGAGGTGTGAAGATTTCAAATCACATCTTTTCTACTTCCTAACAAATAAATATAAGAAAAAAAATCCTTTTAGGAGAAGCTGTGTATAATAAATTGATATAACGCATTTAGGGAAACTGCACCTGCTACTGCAAATCTCAGGGGGAAGAAAACAACATCGCAATTTCTGCCGTTTTCGGCGGTTGTGGTCGTTTGAATGAAAGACCATCTCGGGCGTTTTGGTCTTGAATGGGTTAATGTGATATCGTGCATGTTACTTTCTAAAATAGCTTTCTATACTGAATTTGCAACTAGTTCATGCAATAGTAACGACTTTACGCGGTATTATTACTTATCAAGCTGGCAAATTAAACAGTAAACAATGTTTGCGAAAATGGATATTTTACATATATTATCCATTTAGAGATACAAATATCACATTAGATTTTTTCAAAAGGTAATGAATACATATCAACATCAAACGAAGCTAATATTACAGTGCATGATGTGTACGTAAACTGTTTGAAGAAAGTTAAAATAAGTTTTTTTTTCTCATCTAGGCGAACTAAATCTTCATCCACATGCTTATGAATTCATAACGGGAACAATATTTTTAAATGGGAAATTTTTATAAATTTAACTAAAGTAGAAACGCGGATGGTTGGATACGATAAAAAAGGAAATATATTGTTTCCTTTAAATATTAAAAAATCACATTTTTTAAATCACTACATTAATAAATGCATATATCTTATAACAAAGCAATATACTGTTAAATATTATAAAATCATTATTGCGAAAATCAGACGTTGTGGTATATTTAGATTATTAATAAATGCATATATCTTATAAACAAAAGCATTTATATACTGTATAAAATATTATAAAATCAGACGGTGTATTGAGATAATCAAAGCAAGACATTATTGCGAAATGTGTAATTTGATTATAATAAATATATATAACAAAATGCATATTGCGAATCTTGTGTATAACATAAGCATAATACTGTTAAATATTATAAAATCATTATTGCGAAAATCAGACGGTGTGTATATTTAGATTATTAATAAATGCATATATCTTATAACAAAGCAATATACTGTTAAATATTATAAAATCATTATTGCGAAAATCAGACGGTGTGTATATTTAGATTATTAAATAATGACTCTTTGAAATGGAAATTCTCGCAGAAATTATGTATTAATATTTTTCAAAATATTCAGGTTTTAATATGGCATAACATCGGAACTGTTTAATATTAAATTTATATCATTATTCCGTAAAATTTGTGAATTTATAGATATTTTAATTTTAAGATAAATTAACATTGAAAAGAGCATGATGAATGGATGGAAATACTTATGTGTGTACCATAATTTAAGACACTTAACTATGAATAAATACAGATTAATTTATTATTTACATAAATGAGAAAGATGAATCATATGGCAAAATACAGTTTGTGATGATAAATACACATATTATAATGAACTATGTTAAGCTTTTAACTTAATGTTCTCCACACCATCACTCAAAACAATTTTTTCAGATTGTCCCATCTGTTTCTACTAAAGGTATTGCTACTTTTACTGGATCGCTTCGGTTTTATTCCGAAGAGTCCAATAATTTCTCGTCCATCGGGGCAAGTTATCTTCCATGGTGGTGATGACCATGATGTCCATGATGGCCATGAACTACTACTTCGTGGGGATGTCCTCCTCCGTGGTGAATAGGAATAGGGATCGGGATTGGATGAGAATGATGGCCATGGTGGTGATGTTTCTTGTCCAGCAGTTTGGCAAGGATTCCAGCAGCGAGCAAAGTTTCCAATCCTCCACCACCGCCACCGCCTCCATGATGTCCAGCAATCGCTCCTCCGTTTTTGAATGAAAGGTTAGAAATCATCAGAAAAGAAAGTAAGAGACAAGTAGCACTTAATTGAAAAAGTTGCATTAAAAGCTTCATCTTAAAGGACCTGAAAATATACAATTAAAGTACATTGATACGGATGCATATGGCACATTAAAAAAAAGAGAAATAAATTGAAAATGGACATCTTCAAATAAAAGATATCTTAAACTAGATGTGGGTCATTACTGGCTGAATCGGTAAAACTAGAGTTGGACGATTCGCTTCGGAGCAGATTCAAAGAACCTATTCACTTTACTGAAGGAATGAACAGTTTATTTTAGAAAACGGAGTTATAGCTCTTTTATAGTTCACCGAAAGCTATTGCTGGAAGTTTGCCCGTGACAAATATATGCTATTCCTTCATAAGCTGATTCCTTTTTTCTGAGCGAGTAAACGCCTGGTTCACGAAAAAGAGCGAAGTTCGTTTAGACTTCCACCGAGAGCGCTTCTTGCAAGCATTCCAGGAAAGTTCAATTCCCCTTTAGGGGAGGAAAAAATTTTTGCTCATGTTAAAAAGTGAGTTAAATTTTTATCATTTCCCAGCTTTTTTTGTAATCTTTTTAATTCTAAAATTTTATTGTCAGTTCTGCACAGAAAAGATGTTTTAGATAATCTCAAAACTACAGCTGAAAAAAAATCAGCTGAGAGAACTAGCATTTGAATTAGTCTATGGTTCCAATCCCATTGCTTGTTCGATTCTTTTCGCTCCTCGCTCCCCTCGTCCTAACTGCTTTTTTATTTAAGCCTCATTCTCGATGATTTTCGTCAAGGTTATTGTTAGCGAGCGGGCAGTTATAAAAAAAAACTGATTCATTTCAGTGAGAGAATGGTACTGATCGGATCCCATGAAAGAGTATTTTTGCTCGTCTCTAGTTAAATCTATGAAGTAGTATTCTTTCTTATAGAGTGCTGCTTTATTATAGGGTGCTGCTGCAGAAGTTGAATGATTTGGTTGCAAAGCCATTTCGTGAAATTTTCCTGTGCTTATCATAAATGTGAGCTAAATTCCTCCAGAAAAACCGTCTCCAATCGTATCTTTTGCCCCTAAGTAAGATGCTTTCTCATACTTCACAGTAAATAATTAATTCAACTAAAGTACCGGGTATTGAAAATAGAAGAATAAAGATATAAAAAATGAAATAAAACTTTTGTAACTATTTAATTCAATAAATGATCTAACACAAATTGCAGGTAGTTAGGGAAAAGAACCAAGATTTACAATAAATTAATTATATCTGCTATAGTGTACAAATGGTGGCCCATCTATTAGATGCCTCTGTACTAAAGTGATCAATGCCTCTGGCCTTGGTAAGCGGCCTCAGCAGTTAATCGGGGCTAGGCTGTTTTATCACATAATTTTAAGCTGATTGTCAAGCTGACGCTAGAAATTCCGTCAAAGTAAATTTACCTACCTTAATGTTATCTGGATGTCTACCTTCGACCAGTTAGAATAGTTCTGACAATAAATTAAGAGTACTACACCATTTTTAAGTTTTTTTATCTGAGAAGAGAAAGTTATTCCTGCTTAGTTAGAAAGTTATTTTTGAAAGTTTTACATACGTTATGGACTTGTTCATTTTAGTGTTCTAAAAACTGATATAACGTTTAGAAAGAGAGCCTACATTATCGCATTTCACAGTCACACATTTATTACTGTAAAAAGTACTGCTTCCGCAGCTGGTATTGAAAATCGAACGTTTCTCGAATTTCGAGGAGACTCAATAAAACTGGATCGTTTTCTCACGAAAGGAAGGGTAAATGTGTAATAAAAAGGAAAACAAGTCCCAAATACAGGGTACGGCAGGGAAACTACCTTATTTTTAAAATGAATAACACAAATAGTATAAACGGTATCAGTTTAATTTTTTTCCAAGTTATAGAGAGACACTTAAAGTTTTTTTTATTATTATGGTTTAAAAATAATATCATTAAGGTGGCCTCCGTTCTGGTCAATGCATTGAGATAGTCAAGTTTTGAAGTTTCTTTCCACTTGCATATCATTGGGTATGTTGTCGATAGCATCTTGAATATTGTTCTTCAGTTGAGCCAAGGTCTTTGAACGTTAGAGATTTCAGATAGCCCCACAAAAAGAAATCACACGAGGCTAAATCAGACGAGCGCGCTAACCACTGACAATCCCCTCGTAGGGAGATATGGCGTCCAGGGAAATGTTCTCCAAAAAATCATGGTCCAATGTTGCCTATTCTGGACAATGCACACCAAACAGCAGCACGTTCTGGAAGGAGGGGCTGCTCATGAAATTCTCGGGGATTCCTGCCACTCCATTATCCCTTGTTTTGCTTAATGCATGCCGCAACCGGAAAGATGAAAATTGGCCTCATCGCTAAAGAACACAAGGGCATCATGAGGTATATTGTCAAGAACGGGTTTGCATGCATTTTTTCGTGAAAGAAAAGCGCGTGGATTAAGTTTTTGCACCGCTGCCAATTTATATGGATGAAAATGCAGTACGCTGAAAAGTACGAAAGGAGGCGAACGCGCGCTCCTCTCTCGTCCGCTGCATTACCGGTACTAACCCTCTAAGCGGCAAAGCCGTATATATACGGCCTAGAATATTTATTGTGATATCTGTAAGAACGTATATATACGTGCATATTAAAATATGTCAACGAAATTAAGGCAATATATCAAAAGAAAACAAATCCAGGTACGAAATACCAGTAGAGTTTTTACATTAAAATAAAATAATAATAACAATAATAATAATTTGTTCTCATAGTAGTTTTGCGAAATTTGTGCTTCATTAGCGAAAACCCTGGCCGCCCAGAGGGCTAAAGCTACATTACAAAAAAACTTTCGATACTTCTCTTTTCAATAAAACGCCACCCCCATCCTTCTCGGAATCAATGTCGCTAGATGGCGCGCGTTTCAAATAAGGGAATTTCCCTGCAGCGCCCTATATTGTGGATTCTTTCTCACAAACAGCATTATTAATCCAACAAAAACTAGTTAACTAGCTCTTGTCTATTTATTGATATTCGACCTTCAAATGGCAAGTTATACTATTATTTAAGTTATACTAGAAAGAAATATATGAAAACTCCTCAAGAGAGACAAAACTTGAGAATAAATAACTACAACCTATTCTCTTTTCTTTATTTGTCACATTTATCTATGAAGCATACAAAAAAATACTATTTGTTTGTAAATAATTACAAATTTCTTTGTTTCTTACTACACTTTTCAGCTACAAAACCTCGTGGCGTTTCCATTTCCGTAAAGTTTGCAATTTTTGAGGAAAATTAGCACAAACTACCTTCATTACTAACTTGCAGATACTCTTCGATACTCTCTTTGTTTTCCGAGCATTATTAATTTTCAACTACGAAAAAAAACTGTTCTTACTGAAAATTCATAACTGAGGCTATTTATCTTTTGAGAAGTGCTAAAAAAGTTCATTAAATTTGTGTCTTCATACCTTTGAATAAGGCTTATATTACAGTGTTAATTAATAAGCTCTATTTCTAGATTTTCTGGATCATCACTCAAGTTCGCTTTTAGTAATAAAGATGATGTAAAATTGGATTCAACCAAATCCAAAACTTCTTTCTTCAAATTCTTATCATAACAAGGATATTTAATTTACGGAAAATGTATTCACGGCCTGCACGCGGCCTGCGAGCTGTCGATTTGAAACCATTATTTTATTTATGTAATACTAATTATAATAATTTATCTAATAGGCTATTATTTATATAATAATAAATGGAAAGAAAATCAAGTGGTACTAAGAATACATATACGTAATATATACATATACTAATTTGCTAACTTGAAAGGACGTGAAAATTTTCAATAATACCAAAATTAAGAGAGCCAAATTAGGAGAATGAATACTAAATGTATACCAAATTAAGAGAGATATTCGTTTATCAGGATCTAGAAAGCAAACTTCTGAGTCATTATCCACTCTAGGGTTATTGCTTTTAAAATTAATTATGAATACTCCAGATATGATAAGAAAAGTTAATTAAAATGCATTAGGATAAGAAAGGTTTATCTGAAATCATTATTATAAGTATGAAAAATCATTTAATCTGGGCTTTTAGATTAGGGGAAGGAGACAATGAAATAGCCACCACCACTACCAACAACAACAAAAAACGAAAAAAAAAAAAGAGAAAGAAAGGATTAGGTTAAAAATTTAAAATACACAAAAAGGCAAAATTTAATCGATTGTAATAGAATATATAACAGCATTTTAAACTGCATTTAAATATCATCCCAAAAATAATTTTAAAATTGGGAGTTACATTACTGAACGTCAGTCATATATCTATTTTAGGTAACATAATCTTTAATGCGTTTATACTGCGCCATTTTTTTTTGAAAAATATATTCCTTTGTTGTCTTAAAAATATGAAACACTAGATCCTGTGTTGCATTTAAGTTAAAGAATTTATGTTAAATACAATACAAAATTCAATATAAAATTTAGTACATCTACCTTTCTTCAAACTGAAGTCAAGCTTGCTGACTGAAAGATTACTTTCAGTGATACTTGGACTTTAATGATAATTCAGTATCTTGCAAGTGACGGAATAAATTCTACATGTTTCTCAACTAGCTTATTGCTTGATGGCTAAAAATTAAACATATTTAATTCAATCTTTTAAAATGCTAATAGATTCCTTTTAAGTGTATGACTAAAATTCTGCGGTAATCGGAACAGACAAGACCCACAAGTACAATTAAACCTTTTGCGAACGTTTGCTAAGATTATCCATAAAAAATATTAATATTTATTTATCTTAATAAATTTTTATTTTATTTACCTTAATAATATTCTCAGTGCTTTCGGTAAAATGGAAGACACAATATAATCATAATACACTCAAAAACACTGGAAAAATTGTTCACCTAAATCTAAATGATTGGCTGTCATTGGGGATCGTATCATTTAAAAGCAAAATATGAAAAGGAAAAAATATTTTGTAAAAAGAGTATGTAAAGCATGAAATCGTTGTAAAAATAAAATATAAAGGAAAAAACCTACGAAAACAAAATATATAAAAGATTAAAACATTTTTTAAAACAAAAGATGAATATCTGAAATGCAGAGTTATTAAAAATAAAGTTATTTCTCAGTCTAGACATTATTATTTTAACAGATAATTTCTGCTAATAAGTTAATAAGTATTTCTAACTTTCAAGTTCTAATGTAAATTCTAAATCATCTTTCAATGATTTAGTAAATAAAGAAATACACTAGAAAGTTCTATAAATTTTTCTAAATAAAGTTTTCATGTCAAGAAAGAACAAAATTTTGCAAGTTTCAAAACTTAATGTGTGTTGTTGTCTTCATATGTACGGTACACAAAATAATCCTCAGCTAGGTACCATAAAGACAAAGGAAGAGTTGTAATTCGAAAATTATCATGCACTGGACAATTAACTATTCCTAGTGCTTAAACAAACGCCATTTCTATCAGATGATAACAGCAGGATCTTAAATAAAACAAAGGACTTCAAAATTTCACACTTACAGAGATCTGTTCCAGAAACTACGTATATCAGATGTAGTCGAGGCAGGTGAGCTGTTTCTTTGAATGAAATTCGAATAGCAGAAAACTCCTTAAATAGCATATAACAGGTCGTTACAAGCAGACACGGATAGCCTTCTATCACTTTCATTATTTTAATTTGACAGAACCTTTTTTATCAGAAACAGACCTGCTGCCAGTTATTATAAAAAATTATTTTTATTTTCCTTTCTGCAAGGGTTGCAATTTTGGCGCCAAATCAGCCAAGGGCAATTAACTTCGCACTAGCAAATAAGGAAACGATAGCTTTCATTTGGTACAAACATTACATGAGTGAAAATGAGTAATTAATTTGTTTCCATTACAAACGATATTTTAGTAAGGAAAATATACAGCTTTCCTTATTCATGAAAATCGTCTGGTTTAGAGATAAAGGGCTGGAATAATGATTTATTGTTGATGGCATGTTTTTCACTTTTTTCATTAAAACTGAAGTATTGTTGCATTAAATTTAACACAGTCATCAAAAGTTTACAAGCTATTGCATAGATTACCTATAACGCAGATGTATTTTTTTTTTTTTTTTTTTTTTTTTTTTTAAGTGAACTGGCTGAAGTACCCGGCGTTGCCCGGCCTTTATCCGGAGTAAGGAGGCTTCATTTAGAGGGATGGGGGTAGTTTAGGGCCGTAAGTGCCACCGGGCAACAAGCTAAGTGTACTTCGAACCCCAAAATTTGGCTGCTTCGAGCGGGAAGAAAAAATACATCGATTTTTTATAGTAGAGTTTTTATTTTTAAAAAATTCCAAAATTAAACTTCCTTAATGATAGTTATATTTTAATTTTCCAAGCAGTTAATAAATCACAGCCGAGATTCACAGTTCAGTTTCATAGAGTTTTCCTGACATACGCACAGCATGCGTTATGTACTTAACTATTCCTGTGACTTTAGCTAAAGGCTGAACGATCATTCTTAGAACGTAAATTAATAAAACAACACTTTGCGAAGCAGTATGGGACAGGATGCGTTACCAGTCTAATTTTGCTTTCATTTGAGAATAACTGAGCCCAAACAAAATGAACATTCTAATTTGCTAATTGATAAAATAGTTAATGAGTTTTATTCTTTAACAGCTATAAATGCTTGCTGAATAATTTGCTAGTGAACATTTTATCTTAATTAAATGGCATGTGTTTTATATTAAGCTCTGTATGACGTCAAATAACCCGGGAAATCATACTCTATTTAACTTAACAGGAATAATCAGGAATAAAAAATAGCATAGGATTTATCGAAAACGTAGGTAACAGAACGCACACATCAGACAGAAATTTATCGAAAACATATTTATTTGAATAAAGTGCATAAAGTTATTTAATTATTAATAAATTGATTAAACATTACTAGGAAAAGTATTTACGGATGGAGAAACAATAAAGAAGGAGGCCTCATTATCATCTGTTCCCTCGGGGCTCCGTATCTGTAGTTAAGGCCCTGAGACAGTTTTGTTGAAATGTCAAGTGGACAGTGATTTTACTCTTATTTTAGTTCAAGGTGAATTATGCACAATGTTACTAAGCTTGAATAAAGCTGTAGAACTAACATGGCACCATGTTTATTAAGAAGCGGTACTTGCTTTTGATCGTAACGGTTTTAGTAAGAAGCGGTACTTGCTTTTGATCGTAACGGTTTTAGTAAGAAGCGGTACTTGCTTTTGATCGTAACAGTTTTAGTAAGAAGCGGTACTTACTTTTGATTGTAACGGTTTCAGTAAGAAGCGGTACTTGCTTTTGTTCGTAACGGTTTTAGTAAGAAGCGGTACTTGCTTTTGATCGTAACGGTTTTAGTAAGAAGCGGTACTTGCTTTTGATCGTAACGGTTTTAGTAAGAAGCGGTACTTGCTTTTGATCGTAACGGTTTTAGTAAGAAGCGGTACTTACTTTTGATTGTAACGGTTTTAGTAAGAAGCGGTACTTGCTTTTGATCGTAACGGTTTTAGTAAGAAGCGGTACTTGCTTTTGAACGTAACGGTTTTAGTAAGAAGCAGTACTTGCTTTTGATCGTAACGGTTTTAGTAAAAAGCGGTACTTGCTTTGTTATGAGTTATGTGTTTTTTCAGCAAATCATCATCCACTTAGGTCGATTTCTTCACCCTTTTCAAAATATTCGCTAAAAAAGAAATAGAAAATGCACGTAAATTCTGCTTTAAAGGTACTACACTTCTTCAAAGTTTCACACTCTTCTAAAGAGTAAATGAATACGGCGTCGTCTAATGGTTCTAGTATGAACTGACAGAGGGAAAGCAGCAACAATAACTTGATTTCAAAAAATTCAAAATTGAAACTGTGTAGAAATATCAATACTTATTTTTTATACCAAAAACAAAAATTATAAATTCCTTACTTAGCATGCATGACTTCAGCTGATTGGTAGCAGTGTGAGTGAAATGTTCCAATGTACTTATAAACACCCTGAGTTGGACTCCGAGGAGTGGATTTTGAAATGAGGAGTAAACAGCAACATCCCCCTTGTTTTGAAAGTCAGGTATGCGAAATTCCATCAATATCGGAATTAAAGTGTAGATTTGTACGAGTTACGCACAGACACACAAGCAAACAAAAGAACACTCCTCCTCATATTGTAAGGATTATGCTAATTTTATTAACAGTTAAATTTTGAGTTAAATTTCCTTTTCTATCGATTCTTAACTTCAACTTACCACTTCCGGCCAGAACGTAGTTTTAGAATCACGTCTGAATACATAATGAGGAAGAGCGGTATCTAACCGCGAAGTTCTTCAGTCTTAGGGAGAGAGATACCAGGTATTCTGACTGCACGCATCTGCCTTTTTAAGCTACTCTCTCGTAAGCTATTATCACGCTCGGCCGTACTTTAGGCCCTTGATAGCTTCGCAGTCAGTTAACGTTAAGGGGCCAACTCTGTTAGAATTTTGATAGCTTCGGCTATACCTCTTTAGTTTAGATTAGTTTAGTTTAATTCTTAGTCTCTTAAGTTCAAGCCCAAGTGTCGGCTTTATTGTACAACTCCAAGACGGAGTTCTGTCAAATCTTATTTTGAATAATAAAGGGTTATTTTACCCTTCCATCTTGTTGTTTCCTGTCATACGAGCTCAAGCGATTATTAGCATAATAGTTCTTAAGATTCTTCACTTTCAACAGTAACTTAGAATTACCAAGTGAGGAACTCTACGATATAGATGTATAGTTTCACTAACCAAAGCAAATTAACATGAAATAACTAACCAGTTATTTTATGCTAATTTGCTTTGTTGTCTTTATCGCTTTCCGGTTTCCTGACAGAATGCAAATTTCTAATTCGCGTGTATTCAAATGAATTAGAAAGATAGTATTTACTCGTAGAGGAAAATCTTAGAGATTAGAATCAGCGGTTTCCATTAGCTGCAAAATAAATAAGGTTATACACTCGTGATATACCCGTTATGGGGCGAAAGAAATGCTTGTAAAAGCACGATGAAATTCGCGCTGACATCAGCCTGAAAAACTAGTATAATAGTATCATGGTAGCATCAGAGCGTTTTCTGCCTACTGAAAGCCAACTTTAGATCAGAACCAGCTTGCGCCTTTTGTATCTGCGTAGCCTCTTGGGTAAGTTAAGTTCGGTTACTAATAATTTAAAATTCATTACATTTTGATTTAAACCATGAACGCTGGCTGTAAACGCGAGCAGTGCTTTCTGTTACATTTGAAACCCGCTCTAGTAACTTATTCCGTTACCATCAGGAAGCATTAATTCCAGAGGTAAGTGATAATCCGCTTCGTTATTAATGCACACAAGTTTTATTTACATATAATACACTGGTTTACAAGCATTATTATTAGGCACACGCCTACGTCATTATTAGGCTTAACACCTTCGTTCTTCCATCAAAACTTAAAACAAGTTACAGAATATCAACAGAGACAAGACGTTCGGAGCGCCATCTAATGACGCAAACTATCAATTTATAACACGAGCGTTTCAAATTAACTTCCTCTTATGTTATGTTAAATATTCGCAGGGGAGGTTAATCAGTAGCACAAGCAGCGCCTCCTGTTTAATTAAGTGTTACATAAAAAGGTTATTTTAAACCTTCTTACGACCTGGCCATTTGCTTCGGACTAAAGCAATAACTCGCTTCCCAGCCTTGGAGAGTCTGCAGAACATTGAAATGAGTCTCTGGACATAACGGAAACCTACAAAGCTATTCCTAATACAGTCAAAAGCCTAATACAGTCGGACACCCATAATTTGGAATGATCTATAATCCGGACCTCAAAGCTACAAACTTTCTGCGCATGCGTCGCGTTGACGCATGCGCATAGGCGTTGACGTGTGCGCGTAAGACCTTTACAACTGCGAATATGCGTCTGCGCGTGCGCATAAAATGTTTACGCATGCGCGTTTAATGTATAACGGACGGGATATACTAAGCTAAAATTATCTAATTCAGTTAATGTTGCAGATTGCGTTGTTCTTTAATCTTCGAATTGGATCCGGCTTATTATTTTTTGCAGACTGTTAGAGTAATTTTATAAAAGTAAGCTTGAACTTTCGATTATATCAAATAGAATTTCCGATTTATATTTGCTAATATGTAAGGAATCTAAAGCGAAAGTATGTTTCGAAATCCGAAATCTGTTTATCAATTTCACGCTGCTTGGCGGGAGGAACGCTGCGGCGCGCAATGAATTGGAAGTTGATCTGTCAGCACTATCCTTATCTTCAAGGCAGATGTTTTTATTTTATTTGGCTTATAATTCCTTACTAAATGTAGTATTTCATCTCGATGTACTCCGTCTTTGATATGATTTTAAATCAAGTTCCTCCTCGTCATTATATAATTCGCTTCCGATAGTGAAGAAAGTGACAGAGGTTATTGAAAACGAAAAAAATTTCGATTGACAAAATTAGTCGGTATTCTCGACACAGCAATTATAGGACTTGAACAGCGGAACTTTGTAACTGAACAAGAAATTATGTCTGTTTAATAGAATTAAAGAGAAAGTATTATCACATAAAAACGAAGCAACTTAAAACAACTTACATTGAAAGAAATGTTTTATAAAGTAAACAAATAAATATTAAGCTTTTTTTTTTGTAAATTTTGATACCCTTTAGATCATAATTGTT